GTAGTGACAAATTGATTGGCGGAACTGGTTGGACATTACTCATTGCTCATTATGCCTGTGCCTCATTACTCATTAGTTTGATAATTTCTCAACCAACGGACAATGGATACGCCTAAAATCAATGTTTTATAACATCGTCAGTGTACATTTCTCAAGCATTAAGCTGTATAAATAAAATATAATATTAGAAACGTATTGAAATAATAATTAATAGGCAAAAGACAAGACTTAAGTCACAACCACCGCGGTCCCATATCGAGTGCGATCTTCACGAGCAAAACCCGAAACAACTGTGTGCATATTATATAGGTATGTAAAACGTGACGTAGAGTGCGTTTAAAGTGGTCAGACCAGATTGGTGGCAAAAAAAAAATAACGTTCATCATTGACCGCGCAGAGGTCGTCGAATCCGCGAATTTATTGCGAAACTAGCGGCTCGTACCCATATTACAATATTGTTTCCATGTATTATTATTACACTGCTGCACAACACACTATGTAGCGCGGAAGCGCGGTGTGCTGCACCTGTACATGAATTAATAATTCATTCGTCCTTGTGAGATAGACACACCACCGGAGGAGGTCTTTGACTGTTTCGTGAGTGGTTATAATATGATATATTTATATTGTATTTAATTGAATAAATATGTATACAAAAATCTTCGGTGGCGTTTTCGCGTGCATATATAATTTTTTGTCGGAGACGTTAATTGGAAATCCGATCGTTTGATTTTCGACACCCGGGAACCGTAACTAAAATATGATAGCCATTGTCCGCATACAGTGCATGATATACGCGTATTATATAGTTATTTAGCGTATATTATTATGTTTCACGAAATGAAAAAATAATCGTAATTCATCCTTGCAATGTTGAGGCACCTTGACATTGTGTGCACAATAAAAATCATCGTCAGCCGCCACATGGCACAGTTTCCAATGCCAACGCTTAACTTTCACGGCTCCTTTCTTCTGCCCGACATACCGCTCCTATATAACACATAAAGCAGGTCATACTTTTCTCAAATTTTGATATTGCGTAGAAATTTTCAAAAGAAAATATTAAATACCTATCTAATTTTTTTCTTCTGTAAATTGTATCTATGACACAGTTATATTATTTTTACTTAAATACATACAATAATATAATATATTATTTGTTTCAGCTGCCGTTGGAGCTCAATGGTTACGGTTACGACGGCTATAGCACCTGCACAAAACCGTATCGAAATGCAAGAGCCAAATTTCCGGATTTGCCGTGCGATTTTAACACTCAATCATGGTGCATGGTACCTGGATCAACGTACCCGTGGTAATATATTATAATGTTATTTGCGACACAAAAGTTCCAATGACCAAATATTTAGAAAGCAAAAACCTCATTGTTACCCAAAAATATGCGTAGGTTAGACGTAGGTTATTTGTTGTGAATGAAAAAAACCTGCCGATTATATTGTTTGTCATGATTTATGTAACACACGCATAAATGTAGGTGAAAGTATGTCTAATGTGACACGAGCGAGTGAAAGTTCTAGATTTAAACGGTGATGTTCTTTGTATGTTCGAGATCTGATAAGACGCATATTCTAGGGACAAGGTGAAAGTATACCTAGTGTTTATAATTTAAGTATTTTCAAGGAAAACTAGAGTATTTCCATGCATCACAAAAATGTCTGGATTTTTCTTTGGGTCAAGGTCAATCATTGTGTTATTGTTATAATATGTTTTTGTAAATAATATCGCAAAAGGTGATTTCTTTATAGACTTGAATTCAAGCCTGGGCAAGTTAATGATAATTTTTAATTGAGTTAAGTTAAGTTAAGTTGATAGTAAACATTTCAAAAAGTTTAAAGTTAATAGTTATACTATTTTTTTTTGAAATTCAGTTAAGTTAAAAGTTATACGGAAAATTACAATTAACTTATTAACTGAAGTTAAGTAATTTTTTTTTTTAATAATATGTAAATATAGCCAGTAATATGGTTTGAAATAATATAAAGTAAATATTCATACAATATGCAATATGCATCATTGCGTCATCAATAATAATTGGTATTATATTTATTATTTAAATATTTATAAATTAACGTAACTTGCAGGATTTAATTAAAAGTAACTCGTTATTTATATCATACGTTTATATCAATAAAAATCAGTTAAGTTGAAAATTAAATTTTAATTTTTTTTAACTCGTTTATGCTCAAACTTGCCTCTTGATAGGTACAAAAAGAAGAATTATTGTTTAATAAATAATTTATTTTAAAGAATTGGTAGAACCTTGTTGAATTAATATAATAATTAGCATCTGCAGTAAACGTAGTATGGATGTGATGATCTTGATGTTAAAATAAATCCTAGATTAATGTAACTAAAAAAAAATAAAGCCACATATAACAACATTTTAAAGTCCAATAATGAAAATAAAATATATTGTTATACATACTGAATTATAAGCAGGTATTTTTGCCATATTACTGGAAACAGGTCAACAACTACATAAAAAATTTAAAAATGTCCTAAAAAACAAATTGTAGGAATAGTATGCATGAATCGGCATGAAACATATTTTGTAGCTTGGAAAACTTCGTGTCAGACAATCCAATATAATGATATTATAATTTTGATTTTTCTAGACGAAGGCAGGTATAATTTTCAACATATTTAATTTTTTTTGTTTTTTTCTTTAAATAATGTTGATGCTTAGTCAAAACCTAAAAAATGTAATACAAAATTCCTAATATAATATTAAAATGTAGGTATATACTATATACCTACAGTAATTTAAAAATATAAAAAATAAATTCATCACAATTACGAACATTAACAAATTATTTTGTGGTTAAAAATTCATAAAAATTTTTATTTTTATACAGCTTAACTTTACAATTTTAATACAAGGTTCTTCATAGTTTGGTCTTACAACATCAATAACGAGGTATACTCGGAACATAATATACAGCAGAGCAACTTCCCAGGTTTTTATTCTACATAGTTATTATAACTTTTAAAAATATAAAAATCACATTTTTAGTTAAATGCTTATCATAAATAAACATGATTTATTTAAAAAGACGAGTATTCAACAAAATACAAAGTATGTTCTTAAATTGCATATATCACATTGTGAGTACATCAGTGTATTAGGTAACTAAAAAATGAAGATTTTGTGAAAATTGAGTTATTGATATCTCAATATCATAAAATTATACTAGATTATACAGTTTAACTCAATTTTTCCATTAATACATAATACACTAGTGCATTGTAAATTAATGTTATTTTTACTATTAGAAAACATGTGTAACTCAAAACCTTCCAATTTCCATTTTCAAGTTACTACACTAATATACTCACAGTGGGATATGTTACATACCTATTCCTACTTTATATTCAACATGCGTTCTACTGTAAACCATGCCCCATGGTGGTTATTACTAATTATTAGTTAATACAATATACACTATACCGGATGCAGTTGTGGGAGTGTACTTATTGGAGTGATGAGTCAGTCAGCAAGACAACTAATTAGAAGCAATGTTATCACCGTATAATCGAACTTATTTAACTCAAACATTTTAAATTGTCGATAGCTCGAACTTCTTCCTGGTCATTAAAATCCAGTTTTTCCTTAATTTTTTTTTTTTGGTTTTTAGGTGTTATTTTGTTTTAAATACTTTTGTACTTGACATTTTTATTTTTGGCACAACTTTTCAAAGTTGTAAATAGAAGCACTTTTATTTCTCTAAAATATGATGTTAGACACAAAAAAATAATATAAAACAGACTACAGACCATTGAAAAATCAATACATTCATCGTTCCGCTCAGAACCTAAAACATGTATAACCACAGGGCTCAGGTACACCGTATACTAATCTATAATATTATATATTGTATGTACCATAGTCCATATTATACATATATATGATATATATGTACATCATATTATAATTACGAGAATATTAAACATAACATTACATTTTAGTATTTTACAATATTATAGCCTGGGGATGGTTGTTAAACTATCGACACACTTTACAATTTCAGACATTGATTTGCAACAGTCGATTGCTATTATATTTTATTTTTTTATCGTAATCACGTTTTATCCGGCTATCATGATATCCGAACAATGGGCCGTTAATCGTTATTGACCATTGTAGCAAAGCTGAGGTGTTTAAAACTATACGTGATGTTACGCTTGCCCTTGAAAACAGCATTAAAAGTTAAAACCGCCAATGGAGCTATATAATAACATAGGGTAAACATTTCTGAGTCTCAAATCTATGGTAGTTTTTATTTTAGTTTTTAAGAATAAATTTAAAAATAAAATATTTAAATTTTAAATTTCGTTCTCGTGCACATTTTGAATTTTTAGACTCTTTGATGTTAGGTACATAAATACAATATTATAATATTATTCAAAGTACCCAAAAATCACGCTCGTGGAACTTGCTCGTATACAGTTTATCGAATATTATATCCCGAAGATTAAAAATCTCTTAAAATGTTTTGTTGTTTTTGAACCGTTAAAAAATATTTTAGATTCCAGATGGGTATAACTACGGTAAATAATTAACTAAAAAGCACTATAATTCACAATTTATATGAGAATGGGATAGTTAAAACACAATATATGACATATATTTTATACGGTTAATTATGGTCGATATTATTAGGATTTTTTTAATCTTTTTGATCTCTTTAATCTTTCTAATTTTGGAAAGCATAATCAGTAATGTCAACTTTTAGTGTCTTTTAATAGAGTATTAGAGCCATGAATTTGCTATACACTTGATGCACTTATAAAAACAGACGAAACTCTAAATACCATAACCTACTATTTACCACCAAATTAAATATGTCCATTTCTTTAACCTCGGGACATGCATAAAGAAATTATGGCTAAAATATACATCATCTATTCATCTACATTATGATTTGCTCTTTTTCTTAACGGCCGTTATAATACTTATTATATTGATTGAATTTCGTATGACCATGTGCAGGCACGCAGTCCGACGGTTCGTATTCGAGAATCACGGTTTGATGAAACGCATGTACGGCGAACAGCGACACATATCGGTGTTGCGCGCAGACATGGACACCAACGACATCGAAGGTGGCGTCTGGAACCGGCGGCGGGAGGAGTCGTCGTTGAACCGCTACGACTCGCAACCGTCGCCGCCTGCACCAACCTCGGGAACCTCCACCGGCACCGCTACAGTTAGCAAAGTTAGTAGCACTACCACAACCACGTCAGCGACGGCGACTACCGAGAACACGACCACGACCACTGCGTCCACAGCCCGGCCATCCAATGTCACCACGGAGCCCGTGGCCGACGTCGTGCCGCCCACGACGACCACCGTCGCGGAAGACGTGGAAGACAGCACCGAGGACGACGTTACCGTGGACGACCAGTTGCAGTTCGAAACCACCACCGAACCTATAGCGTCGACCCAACGCACCGACCAGGTGCAGGAGCAACCGGGATTCTTCCAGGAGTCGACCGGTGGTGACGCGGACAACACTCAGAAATCAAAAGGCATGTGAGTATCCTGTACTTGTACAATAAGAAAAAAAATCGAGTATTATTATGATGTGAAATAGATTATTAGTCATGTACATAACGCGACCGCACTATAATAATATGACATATTTTGTTTTCCAAAACAAAACATTTACCAATAACAAGCAAAACTTGGCGTTTTCCATTGAACGCATTATTATAACTTTTGGGCTTTGAATAATGATAGTACAAATGTACAATAATAATAATAACAACAATATAAATAATAATAATAGTAATAGTAATAAAATATCTCCTTTTCGATTATGTGGAACCACGTGTTTTTGTTTCTTGCAGTAACGCTTGCCCGGTAAAGGAGGAGGTGGTCGCGCCTTTCTGGGCGAACAACACTCGCGGCGAAGTGCTCGCGCTGCTTAATCTCTACCCGTTCGAGCAGTATGTCCACTGGGAGCGATGCACGTGAGTATTGAGTACCTAGTCGATGATCAATACTTTATAATACTACCTAATAGTATCATATACAGTGTGATTCAATCACTGCGGAGAAACTATACGTTTATATCATTACCTCGATAATTGTTGTGTTTATCTAAACCAATTTTACTAGCGCAGTTATATAAGCTCTAAAATGCAGTAATACTTAATTTTAATGAAGATCAGATCTGTGTACTGGAATAATAAAATATAAATTATTGCTTAATGGGCTATTGGGCTGTCATAATAGGTTACTGCTTATAATGCTGCCTTTCTAAAGGACATAATCGAACGTTGGACTAATAATGTCAGTGCTGGGTTTTCCAATTTTCCAAAATTCTATCAAATTTTCAAATTCTATTTTATTTTTTACCTACTACATTAATTATAAACTGTTTCCACTAATCTACAGCTTGATACCTATTTAGGTAGTGGGGGGTTGATAAGTGTATTATATCAACGAAAATTACTTCACAGGAAAAACTTTCACATTGTCAAGCCATGTAGAATAGTCGGATTTCATGAATATTTTTTTATTTAAAAGAAGAGAACATTTTTCAGATCGGATCAAAGCCCGAATTTTAAATTTACTTTAAATAGCGGTCGAAAAACAGGTTTGAAAAAGCATAAATATTGTGTATTTGTGTATTATTCAAATGCATACTTTAGCTGCTATAATTATAATTTAGAAAATCGGGCTTGCAGAATGTTCTCTTCTTTTACATAAATAAAAAAAATCCTATTGTTCTACAGAGCGTGAGAGTTTTTCCTGTAGTACATGTTTTTGTACTGAAAACCCCACAGGCTCCGACGCCCTCAACATGGCATATTATAAGCAGTTTATACTTTATATCGATATAAGCAGTAGTGCCGTCTATATTATAGACTCTATAATATAGTATCTACATTCTAAACATTAAAATATGCTCCATAAATAAAAAACTTCAGTATTTATAGAAGTAGCGCACCACTTTTTTTTTTATCGTGAACTGGTATATCGCGATAGTGTAATCTCTAGTAATACACTAAAAATAATGATTTCCAATTGTTGGCGGTGTGGATTACATATACATCACTCGAGCCCTTTCCGCCTTCATCAAATTATAATAATTATAAATTATTATAAAATTCCTATACATATTACGTCATATTTATACGCACAATTAACGCACATAATATTCGCACGTGTATACCAATATGATATTGTGTTGCGCAGGTTCGAGAACAAGCAGATGTTCTGCCGCCAGGGCTGCCGGTGCGAACAGCAGTACCGCTTGCACAGGCTGCTCGCCTACGACCCGTCCAACGACTGCCGCGGAATATTCTCCGACTGGTTCAGGTTCCCGTCGTGCTGCGTGTGCCGTTGCTACGATCTGCCCAACGACCTGAGGATCACGTCCCGCAGTCCACGCACCGACGGAGACGACGGCGCCGGCAGCAGCAGCAACGGCAACAGCAACGACCTCGACACTTGGTTCCAAAATCCGTTGAGCTCTTAACTTTTACTTTTCTTTACACGATATTATTGTATTATTATAACGTATCCGTGTTTTATCTCTCATTCTTTCTATCTCTCTCCTTCGATAATATCATCTGTCTCCACGCATCATCTATATAGTGTTGGGCAAAAACAAAAACCACTTGCAGATCGAAGGGTCATCTGAAAGATTTACCTCACATTCATTTATTAACAATTTAAAACCGATACATCTCGATAAACACAAGTACCTACCTACGTTCGTTTTGAATTTTTTGTAAGTTTACTAAGTTTACTAAAGAATTGAGATGAGTACGTACTAAATAATATTAATTATTGACAAATAACATCAATATTCACTCCATCATTCAATCTCCAGGGTTAATTCGTATACCTACAATAATATTGTCAACCATGATTGATATCGTTTAGCTTTGTTTTTATTAATCATACAATTTATTTTAAAACTATTATATTATATGCATGGACCCACTAATTCAACGAATGTACATATTTTATTGAAATTTACAGATTTTAATCTGTCCGTCATCTGTTAGTCGTACATTTTTAAATATTTTTTTTTGCCTTACACTGCCATGCATAATATACAGAATTTTAGATCTATATATTATAAAAGCCATAGGTTTTTAATATTATTTTTGTTTTGAATATTTATTAAATAGAACGCGTAATATAATATATATGCTGTACATAAACTTTAGTGTAAATATAATATTTTTATATAGTTGTTAAGGTGTTTCAGTCTTGTGATACGTTTAAATTAATTATTACTACTATTTATTTATATATTTTAAACTTATTCATTGATACAATGATAAATGATATTATGTGCATACTTATGGTATATTCACGTGTCCATATTTATATTATACACTATAAATCATTATGGATTTACGATTTGGAACTGCAAATTTTACCGTTGATGTATGAAAATAATGTTAAATACTAATGTTACACCGTTGTTGATATTATAATATACAAATTTACAGTATGAGTATTAAAGTCATTCTGTCACTCTTAAGCAGTGGCGTGGTGAACGACGTTTACCTAATGCAATTGCTTAGCCCTAGAAAGTTTTCAGGGGGTTGGGTACCCCTTGGCTCAGGTAAAGATAATAAAGAATATATTATGAACAACCATCGGCCAAAATAGATTGGAATCACTAATGCTTTTATCTTGGGAAAAATATATTTCACCTAGTTTAGAAAAAGCATTAGATAGAATGAGTAAATCTTCTCAACTGCTAGAAAAAGCTCTTTTATTTAAATAAATAAATAATTGTATATTTATGTGATAGTGTGATACTGTAAATAAAAAATGATATTAGTATATTAGTATATACCTATATTATTTTTTATGTATTGTATTTTAATTATAATTAATGCATTATGTAATCTATTTTCTGATAATACACTTACACATAAGCAAGGCTTATGTTTACTGCATAAAAGACTGCTTCAAAAGTCATCAGAGTTAATTGATATTTTTAATTATACTATTACTATTTTATGTATAATTAATTATTATTATTTATAATAAATGTTTGATGACTTCCTATAGCAAAAATTCAAAATTAGCATGTAGAAAATTATACTTAGTTTGTGGGGGGGGGGGTGGAAGTGGGGGGTCATTACAAAATTAATTTGCTTAGGGTTTGAAAGATGCTCGCCACGCCACTGCTCTTAAGTCTCCATATCTCTATAGTCATCTCGGCCACTAATCAGAATGTTGACTTGATTTTTTTTTATACATACTTTGTATCACATTAAACCATACTAGTTTGATCAATGATAATAGTTCCCGAAAATTAAATTAGTTCATTAGTATTTAGTACATACTACATATTACAACATACAAGTATACGACCGAGTTTAAAAACCGTGTTATATTTTTACTCTTGTCACATGCTATAATACTTGATGGTTAAAAGATATGATAGAGTCAGCATTATTCGAATAAACTTTTTAATTTAAATCTACATAGAATTTTGTTTGATTACATTGTTTTTGTAATTATTCAAATAAAAACGTATTACAATTATTTTTTTAAATATTTAATTGATTAGTTTTTAAATACAGTTAATCGAATAAAAAAATATTCAAACAATTAAAAAAAGCAATTGTGTTTGAAAATTATTCGGATTATAATTATTTAAATAAAATGATGCCCAACTCTGGTAGACTGGTAACCAAATCGACTATAATTTCAGGTTTCTATATTATATTGACAATACGTCAAGAGTCAATGCTATAGTAGTTTTAACTTTTAAATGGTTTCATTATCTATCAGCTGAAATTTAGTATTTGATTATATCAAAAATGTTCAGCAATAATCACAGATATGTACAATATTAACAACTATGTATACCTTCCATAAACACCAATATTATAAATTTACAATATTGTACAATATTCTTTTGTTTTTCAAAAATTATAACCTTTCAGTCATTCAGTGCTAATGATTTTATTGCGTACACATATTTATATATTTTATTTATTTATTTACAACGGATCAAAAGATCCAATTATAATAATTTAAAATAATATAGTTCATTACCGATCGTTAGAATACAATAATAACACAGTAATAATACAATAATAAAACAATAATAAAACAATACAACATATTTAAATACAAAAAATGTTATTTACATAATTATTAAATAATTCAATGAAATTAAAATACAATATATTATATTGTATTATATTGTTTTTTTTTATATTGTACAATATTATTGTTTTACAAAATAATACTTCCAACATTACTAAGAATATTGCATAAAACCACATTTAACCACTTGTGAATCAAACCCAATTGCGAAGTACGATTAAAATAATATAATATTGAATATTTGAATTTGTAAAATAATGATAATTTTCATATTATGAAAAAAATATATAAAAACCAAATTAGCAAACGTACTAAATACTTCATACGAAACTACCAAAGAATATAACATAATAATATTACATTATTATGTGAAAAGCCAAACGGCATAACTTATTGAATTTAAATTAAAAATTTTTTCTAAATATTATATTATACGGCGTTGTAGATAGGCTATACAGCGTACGTCCCACGTCATCTTTAATATCATAGTTTCCATAGTAATCTTGACCTTACATTATTTTGTAATATTATTAAATTTCACAATCGCAATTCATGGTTTTCCACAAACACAACGACAATCACACACACACAACGGATGGGCTAAATTTTAAATTTTAGAATATTATTATTTTTATATTTATAATAATTATGGAACCATAATATATCATAACCTTTAAATCCTTTATCGGGTCGCGTGATATTGTGTTATCATTGTTTATTATAATATTATTAATAGTGATGGGAATAATCGAATGATTTCGATAATCGAGTAATTAGTAATCGAGATATTACTATAATCGAGATATTCACTCGATTAAAATAATCGAAATATTATTTAGTCGTGATTTTCACCCAATTAAAATAATCGAAATATTATCATGAACTAATATATAATAATTAATAATCAATCAATAATCAACTTATTAATAAAAATTCATAGTAATATTTTTAATTGAAATAACACTTTACATTTATTATTATAAATTTTATTATAAAAACTAAGTATAGTAGTATAAGTACGAGTACAGTAAATAACTTATTTATTAACTACCGATTCGTATACGGAATTTATTTCGATAAAAGTATAAAACCAAATAATATTATGACGTTTCGTGTACTACTACATTGAGGTTGTGCAACACCGCGTCCATATTATAAAATTTTAAAGTTTTATACTTTTATAATTATTTAAAATTTATATATGCTTTGAGATAATGTAGTCCGTAATTGGATTATTATTTTCGGGTTCTTTTAACTGAACGAAAATACCGTGAAGAGATTACTAGATTAGTAGAATAAAAATACTCGAGTATAATATTACTATTAGTAGTTATTTCATTCATTTTACTTATTTACAATATTCGAGTAACTACTACCAAAATTAGTAATTACTAATTAGTAATTACTAATTTTTCGTTTGATTTTTTCAGTTGGTTCCGAGAATCGAGACCGAGCAAATCATTCGATTATTTTTCATAACAATCGAGTTACTCGATTTAATCAAATAATCGAGTTACTCGATTATTTTCACTCGATTGTTCCCATCACTAATTATTAACTAACCTTCTCTACGTCTGCAACTACTCGTGTACTTCTCGACTCTCGTTCTCTCTTCTCAGTTCTAACTTCTTACTTCTTGGCTGTGGTACGACACTAGTGCTGTACTGCTTACGTTGAGTCACGTCCCAAAAATCTTACTTGTTCTATATACGATTTAACGGCATCCGCCTTGGCAGAAATAGAACGAATCTCGAAGACTTCACAATTTCATTTGGATTTTGTTTGTTTAAATAAAGGCTTCCCGTTGGAAAAATTAATCGACTAGGTGGGTACCATATTTTGATTATCAATATAAAATATAAACGGGTAATACTGTAACACATACTTACGTTTTATAAAGGTGCAAAGATGCATAATAAGGATCTGATCAAATCCAGTTGGGCAGATGAGGTTGAAGATCATTTGGAGAAAACAACATTGCCACAAGCAAAGGTTGATACACACGGAAATACCAAAATTATTACTGAATATCGTTGGAACAAGGATGACAAAAAAGAAAAGGTAGTTCGTACATATAAAATTGAAAAACGACTGGTGTCCAAAACTATAGCTGAGCGCAAGACATGGGCTAAATTCGGAGATTCACGTAATGATAAACCAGGACCAAATACTTCGACCACGATTCCGGCTGAAGAAATACAGATGCAATTCTTGTCCGGCAAGGATGGCGACAAAGTTGAAGAAAACCCGTTAGACAAATTAAAGAATGTGAACATGAACATTAAATGCCGAAATTGTGGCGGAGAGCATTGGTCGTTTTCATGTCATCTCAAGGGTACCGGTTTGGTGATTGAAGATAAAAAATTGGTTCAAGAAAAGGTACCAGAGCCTGAAAAAAATACCAGTACCAACAGGTATAAATACAATGACTTTCTATTTTCTAAAATTTTGATTCATGTAGGTATGAGGACATAATCATCTAATACCCACATTTGTCTTGCATACATGCATACCTTGAGAAAATAGTGTCATATTAATATCAATTTGTATCATAATAATATAATGTTTTTGTTAATATTTGTATTATTGTTAAATTTACAAATGAAAACATTGATCATGCTCCATTGCGGAGTTTTTATAACTATTTATATTTTTTAATACAATAATATTGTTTGTATTATTTATATTTTTTTTTAAATAGTTATTTGTCTTAAAAAATAATAATTAACAAAACTTTACAACTATTGAGAAACTCAAATTAATACATTACATGTGTTCAAGACAAATAATAACTCACATTATTTTTGAATTCTCTTAAAATTATTCTGGTATACAACTATATGTACACAATATGTATTTTTAACCTCATGTTTTGTTTTAGACCATATATTCCTCCGTCAGCAAGAGAAGGAGCCACAAATACAGCTGGTAAACGAGATCCATACTCACGTGGTTATGACGAAGTACCTGCTATCCGTATAGAAAATCTTTCTGAAAGTACATCTGAAGCTGATTTAAGTGAATTAGTGAACAAATTTGGTCAAGTTGCTAGAATTTTCTTGGCGTCTAATAAGGTCACTGGTGCTTGTAAAGGATATGCATTTGTTAATTTCAAATCCAAAATGGATGCCGAACGAGCAATTAAAGGATTACACGGATATGGATATGACCATTTAATATTAAATGTTGGTTGGTCGACAAACAATTATAGTAAGAGTACTTACTAACTGGATGCAAATTTACTGGAAATAACAATATTCTATGGATATATTATTTTATACATATTTTTCAGTCAATATTAGTTAAAATATAAATATATAGTGCACAATAACTTTTATATTATTATAATATTATTTAAATGTAAATTTGTATTTTTTTTTCTATGCTTTTCATTTTATAGAAAATGTATGGTTAGGTTACAATAACACAACAATAGACTTAATAATCTAACTTTTTCAATTTAAAAATAATACTGTGGAAATGTATATTTTTTTTCTTTTGATCCGGCTCAAAGTGTTTAACCAAAAGTATTGATTAAAATTTGAAAACGTTGTCTCATATATTCATACAGTTAAATTCTAGATTTTTGTGTGAGGAGTTTTGATTGATTTAATCTTTTTAAAGGAATAGTTTTTATGCATAGGATGCTTCTAAGTTTTAAGTACTAAGCCCAGTCAGGCATCCAGCAGAGGTTTAACCTATTCTTGTAGTTTATAATTATTTCAAATGGATATAACATAATTTTTGTAGTGCCAATACACTCAATATTTAGATCTTAAATATATAATATTCTATGCAAAACAATCGATTGCTAGTTATTTTACATTTTTATGCCAGTGTCATACCAAAAGCATGTACTTATCGCAAGGTTTAGTGGTATGAAATTATAAAAATCAGTATTTTAGACTTATAGTTTTTTTTCTTATAATAATATGTATAAGTTTTGCCAAAAAATAAAATATTTCATATCTACTTGTATATATTTATGTAATAACTGTTCATATTCTATATAAATGGTATTTACGGGGGGGATCAAAGGGATCAATCCTCCCATATGCATATGCAAAAGGTTTTGGAGTTCTAACTTAAAGCCTTTATCTTAAAAGGCGGGGCGAATGGATAAAATCTTCCTCCCCCCCCAAAGACAAAAACCTAATTACAACACTGACAGTGGCGTTCTACGAGATGTCTGGCCCCCGCCATTGGCCCCATAAATACCTATCTAAACATCTAATATACCTAAACAATAAATATAAATATATTCTGTAGGCTGTATCCCCCCTGATTTAAATGTGTTTGGAATATTAGCTGTACCCCTTCCATGAAAAATTCCTAGATATGTCACTGAATGGTTTAATAATAGTTCATATATTTATTTTTTTTTCCTTACATAATAAAATTAAAATTATTATTCCTGGAAATCAGGACAAATTTTTTAATTAGTTACCTACACATTATGATGTTTCGTTGTTTAAATAAAACAATTTGGTATTTATTTTAGGGTATTCAACGTATTTGAATATTTGATATAGAATAGAATTGCAACTTCACAAAATCACAACTAATTAAGAAATTAAAAATGTAATTTATTATATTTTATTCATAAAAATTATTTTGATTTCGAATCGCAGTGCAATTTAATAAAATGGTTAGGTTGGTATTACTATTTCATAACTTTTAACATGGAACAATCTTTTAAACACGGTCACATTGGTTATTGATATGAGCTATCCCGAGAATGATAATAATTAAGATTTAAAATACGAAGCACATGTTTGAACTTTGAATTGTTAATTGTTTATTTGTTTAATACTTGTCACTTGTGTAGTTGTGTTGTACTGTTGTTAGTATTTAGTTGTTTTGTTAGTAAATATTAATATCCGCGATGGCTATCGTAATGTCTTCGGATGTCGATTCTGAGGAAGAAGTAAGTTATAAGATACCTACAATTATAATTTTTTTCTAAACGTCCTCGTATAATATAATGTACCTATTGAGAATTCAATATGCGGATTTTAGATTTATAATTTTTAAATAATTAATTTGTTTGAGGACTGAAGTCTTTGAAAATGTTTAAAAAATTTGCTTAACCTAGGCACTAAAATTAGTTAGTACTAAAACAATAATATGTTTGTATGCAAAAATTGAAGATTAGTTTGACGTTTTAATGTTAAATCTTTAATCTTTTTACTATCACACACTTATTCTCTCCAACCTGTGTATGTTACATAAAATGCAATTTTTATGTATTTTTAATTTTTCTTAAATGTTAATTTTGAGATCTATAATATAATTTCTTAAGTTTAAAATAATGCGAGGCAGGGTTTCTTAAAGTTGTACGGTTACCGCAAATGATAATATTATGAAGTACAGGAACGTAGCAGTACCTACGTCTAGAGCAGTGAATGGCGTAAATGACCATTACTCAATATCACAGATGAACTCATGCTTCTGAAATTAATTATATTATAAATATAAAATTAAAGTACCATAAGTGCAATTAAAATCTCTATATGATTTAGAATAAATTTTTAAATGTCTTTATAGTTTATATTAGTTATTAAGAACTTAAAAAAATTGCATACTCATTTTTTAATTGGTTCTGAAATAAATTAATAATTCAGCTGTACCTACTTAACTTAACAATAAACTGGAATTTATTAGATTTATTTACTAATTAGTTTACCTCATTTATTATTGATTAGTGTATAATATTGCATTTGTATTAGTTTTTACTATACAATTATTTTACATATAAATAACTGGCTCATGTAATATTTATTGAAATATGTAACTTTTTTTTTAGTTATTGGAGCTGTATGCAATAGGAAAATTAAAGCCAGGTTTAAATATACCTGTAGAAGAAGATAGAGTATTCATTAACAATGTTGTAAGTAATATTAATATTATTTATTATTTAAATGTTTATTGGTACATATTATAGTGTATATTATTATGATCATTTTGATACATCAAAAAAGTACTTCTACCTATTTTGGAAGTTAAGCAAATAGTAGTAAGGTATAGAAGAATTATATGCTATCATTATCTATGTATGTTGAAGGAAATACAATTTTTTTTTAGGATAGGGTAGAATGTCCTACTTGCATGGGACAAAGGCTAATTAATAATTTTTGTATTCAATTTGTACATATAAATTTAATACTTGATCAAATTACTCATTGCTTATTTTTCTTTTAGAATGCAATGAAAGAAGCTATTGCTTCATTCCAAAGCAGTTTACCATGGAGCGAACGACTCGATATTGTGGCCGAAGCTGCTCCAATGGCTCCTGAGCTTTCAATGGAAGTATGTATTTAATTATTATATTCTTTATACCTGAATATCACTAAAAGGAAATTTAAAATAGCAGATTAGATGTTCTAATTTGATTTGTATTATTGCTTACTTTTTTTACCAACAAATTACTATATTACACACTAGTGCCAGAAGAAGATTATCAACTAAACAATTTCTTGTACCCGCCCCCAGCAAACACTACTATAATGTGTAATTACTATACACCATGCTCAAGTAACACACATAACCAATCATAATTCAGCTGTGTGCCAGTGTGTAACAAATATGGATATGTTTGTCGTCTATTTATATTCTAATTTCAACCCAGGTATAAGAAGATGTATCATTATTTTAAATTAAAAATAAAATATTATTTACGATTGGAAGTTATCAATTAAATTCTTTAAATATGATGTGAACTAAGATGAAAGACATGATTTCAATCCTCATAAATATTAATAATAGGTTCAGTAGTTAAAACATTAAAGTAGTAATATCATAAATTCTATCAATTTTTTGGTACTTATTATTGCCTCACCATTGATTTTACACTGTAATCTGTTATACAATGATATTTTTTATGTACCTTTACAAAACTTCCAATTAAAAGTAAAGAATAATAAATTGTTTAAAATTAATAGTAACATAGTTAATAATTTTATTAATATCTCATAATTATACATAAAACTGTAAAAGAATAAGATAGTTTTATTAAGATCCTTAATTAAAGTCACTCATTTTATTTATTTTAATAATATAATATGATTTTGTTGTATAAATTGAATGCCATTATTCAGCGATATATTCCAGCAAATAATTAATTAAAATTAATTTTTAACAATATTTTATAATAATCTAATAATGTAAAATAGTTACCCACTTTAAATTATACATACTTACAATATAACGACAAGTTAACTCCATACTAACATGATTAAAGTTGAATAAAACAGAATATCAAGATTTTAGATTTTGGTAAATACTGCTGACATAAGGTTTCTTGTTGAAGGGGTGTTAAATTGTGTATGGCTTTGTGACGGGACAATTACAAACAAGTACCGATTTTTTAAAAAATATTAAGAGGATGTGATACCCGCATGTGTTGTCTTCGTCTTACAAGTGTGTAACATAGCAAATTATACGTAAAGCAGAACATGTAGCTCCGTTAGTTTAAAAATTAGAGTGAATTTACCTCTTATAAAATCTAAATGTAAGATTATTATCTAGACAACCTCGTGGGCTTTTTATGATATTTTAATTTTTAAGCGAGCTATGAGTATTTTAAAATTTTAAATTGTTTATAGATCTTAAAGTTCTCATAACTAGCTTAAAATTAAAATATTATAAAAAGCCCATGAGGTTATCTATACTCTGTTCAAAATAAGATCGTGACCCGGCGGCCGAGTTGTGCGCATGGGCGTGGCTTCGTTCCGTGGCTGCGCCCGACGCGTCGCTGTAGTGGGGACGGCATCTTTCCATATGTCTGACCGCCGCCCGACGAAAACTGGTCGCCGCCGGGTCACGATCTTATTTTGAACAGAGTATAGATAATAATCTTACCTTTAGATTTTATAAGAGGTTAATTTACTAATTTTTAAATTAACGGAGCTACATGTGTTTTGCTGAGCGTAAAATTTGCTATGTTATGCACTTGTAAGACTGAGACAATACATGCGGGTATCACATCCTCTTAATCAAGTTCATAAATATAGGTAGGGTATTTGAACTGTATTTTAGTCAGTGATAAAAATCTAATTTTTGATAAACCTTAAATCTTGTTTGCTCATTTGTTGCATGCACAGTTTTAATAAAAAACTTAAATAAAATTGTATTTTTTAAATGTACTAATTAAATAAATGTTTTTGTATTATTCCAGCACAATGTTTGGAATAAAAATTTGTAATTTTTAAATTGCTTATAGCTTGTATCATTATCTTTATCATAGTATTTTCTTATTATTTCAGATTACTGAACAACAACAATTTCTTAAAGCTGGTAAAATTGATGAAGTAGCATTAAATGATTTTAAACGGGAAACCATGTTTCACCGGCAAGCCCAAACAGCTGTTATGCGTGGCATTGAATTGTTACGTAAACATAATATAGCTACACATCGACCAGAAGATTATTTTGCAGAAATGTTTAAATCTGATGAGCATATGCAAAAGGTACGACATGCACTTTTACAAAGAAAGACTGCTCTAGAACAAACAGAAAAAGTACGTCGTATCCGGCAAGAAAAGAAATTAGCTAAAGAGAAACAAGTAGCAGCTATACAAGCAAAACATAAACAAAAACGTGATCTTAATGAAAATATTAAGAAGTTCAGAAAAGGTTTAAGAAATGATTTAGACTTTTTGGAAACTGATAGTGGGAAGAAAAATAAGAAGAAAGATGATGGAGGTGGTGGTGGTGAAAAGAAAAAAATTCTTTCAAGGTATTTAAATTTTTAATTAGTATTGAACATCAAATAACGTTTATATGAGTAGAGACCATATATTAATATTTAACTTTTGATACATTTTTTATATTACATGATTTATAATATTTTACAGGTAAAAAATAATGAATTGATATAAAATAAATTTGTTTTCAATACAGAGCTGAAAAGTAAAATAAAATTGTCCATAATAATTGTATATGAAAGTATGATGCTGTGATGAATACCCATTTTTATAACCATTTGTTTTAATATAAAGTTATTGTTTCCTATACTTATTGATTTATATATTAATTAACTATAATAGTACTTACAATTTGGAATACATGCATAATAATTTTTACAACCACAGATTACATCAATTCATTTTTTATAGTAAATCTTCATAAATACATCCTATCTTTTATGTGCAGTCTTGAAATATTTTTGCTTCTTAAAATTACATTTTTGGATATTATAAGCTTTTTTTATGTAATTATTTTCCATACATTTGTTGACAATGTAGTACTTAGACACAGTCATTGTGAAAGTATACAAATATATTACTTGATTGAATTGAGATTATTGGATATACATTTTGTGAATATAGAAGTTCATCGTACATATTAACTTATTTTATTAAGTAGGACGAACAAAATGTCACTAATTTATTGAAAACATTAAATTAAATATAATATAATAACCATTAGGTAGAACTAAAAAACTATTCAACATTTCTTAAAAACGAGTTTTAAATTTAATGTTATTTTAATTATATTCATTATAGTCCTTAAAATTGAAAAATGTATCATGATAAATTACATTTTAATTCATACTTCATTATTAAATATTTAAATGGCTATCAATAGTTGTTTTCTGTCATGAAATATGTTACCCTTCAATTTATAATCATCATAAAAATAGTATTACCTTATTTTGATCATAATCAGATAAGTTCATTTAATTTTTTTTTTAAGTAAAATTATGTAGCAGATGATTTGTGCCCCCTTAAAATTTACATTATATATCCAAATACCTATAAATTTAAAAGTACATTTCAATATCATACTTTAATTTATAAGTACTATTTTTTTATGTTGTTGGCATGATTTAATATGTTAATATGTATTAAAAATATGTTAACTTTAATTTTTTTATTTTATAGATCACAACATAAAAGAAAAGGAAAAGATACAAAGTATGGATTTGGTGGCAAAAAAAGAGGCATGAAAGAAAATACTACAGAAAGTACATTTGGTGGTAGTGGGAAATCAAATTTTAAAGGAAAGAATAAGGGTAGAATTAATAAAAACAAGAGAATGTCTTCAAAAAAATGAATAAACCAATTTTTAAAAATTTGAATGTACATAATAATTTTATACTAACAGTATACTCCTGTAGTAATATCAATTTCCTATTTAGACTTTTCAATACAAATCTTTTACTAAAACAACAAATTCTAATATTTTTTTTTCATATTATATTTTTTATTTATTTATAAAATTATCATCAAGAAGTAATGAGGAAACTAAACGATACCTCTGTGTACTAGTACTACACAAGTGTATAAGTTTATCTATTATTTCATTAATAATTAAGTTTTGATAAATAGATGAAATACAAAGTAGGTATGTATAACATCAAGTACATTTTATACCTGCGATTATTGGATGGTAGGACTTTAATTGTGGACTAAATGAAGTAGGAATATTAATTGTCAACACAAATATGATATAGCAAAACTGTGTTATAACATTAAAAATAGATGGTGCTCTAGTACTCCATAAATTAAATTAATTAATTAAGCCACAGTGAATACTATGTACTATGTAGTAACTGTAGTATATATGGGTACATTGAGCATAACATTTTTGATATCTTGAAATAAAACAGAATTTTAAATAGGTACATTTGAAAATTTCTTAATCGTAATATAAAAAAAAAAATGTTTTAAGTAATTGGCAAATATTTGGTAGTATACATCTTTTATTTTCTTAGAAAATAATTACTGACCTCTGACCTAAAGAATAATTAATATAATATTCTAATATTGTCAAAACAAAAGACTGTTGAGTTTCATACCCAAGAATGTAGTTAATAATTGAATATAAATAATTAATCTAACCAGATAAACGTTAATTTATTTAAGTGTGTGTCCAGAAAAATAAATATAATGCAATAATTTATTCGTCAAATAAACAAAGTAGGCACCTAGCCACATAGGTATAATTAATTTTAATAGGTTAATAAAATATTGAATTACTTTTTATAAACTATTAAAACTACAACAAATGGACAAATGCACAGTTTATTATGTATGTAGGTACCTATTGGATATTGAATTACTTTTTATAATCTCTTAAACAATACCATATGTATTTAAAATAGGATTAGATTTCAACAATTGATAAAGGTTTTAAAATTTAACATCCATCAAAACAACCAATAAAACACATTTTACTAGCAAAGCAATAAGTGTACCTATGATCAGGAGTTATTATACTATGTTTATTTAGCCTTTATTGACCTGCGCGAATGTCTTGAATAAATATTACCAGAAATTAGTAGGTCGTGTTATGCATTATTAAATTATTTAATCAACTACATAGGTATTAAGAAATTTGTCTAAGTTTGTATGTTTAAAGTTTTGATAAATTATATTTACATGCATTTAGTTTCAATTGAGGACAATTGAATTATTTTTTAGCAACAATACCTATATTACATTGCTTTCGTACCTACTAACTAACTACTGACCATTTTACAATTATACTTTTAGATTTACATTTCATTTTATTTCAATTATTATATCATAATTGATAATAATTAATAGTATCTTCCCAGTTCTCTTTTAACTTTTCTAATGCACTCAAGTGCCTACCTATTAAACTATTAAACGTAACATGTCTTATTTATACAGTTGGGTTTTTTTAATTTAACATCATTTAGGCTAGTCTATCCACTGTAATAATTGTTTGTACAACTTTAAAGACACTCAGAATAAAACCAAATATTAGCCAATTTCTTAAAACATTTTTTTTTATGCCTTTTTATTTTTTGATTAGGTACGTATTATAGGTAATACCATAACACATAATAATTTATATTTGTCAACAAATTTCATAAATTTACAATTTTTGGGAATAATTTTCCTCCATAATATTTTCCTAAAATAGACATTCCCGAATCTGATTTTCCAGATAATATATTTTGTTCTTGTCATAAAAGGATTCCTGACAAAGAGTTTCCTTAATTGAATTGTTCCTGACTTTTTACTGTGTAGGTATAGCTATTAACTTAACTAGGTTCCTAAGTAGCTTAGTGCAGGTCTACGGTCTACATACCTATTGCCATATAGGTAGGTAGGTTTTAATTGAAAAACCTATTATTTCTGATTCTGAATCCAAATTACTTCACTAACCTAACTTACGTATCCATTTTTAAATGCTAGACACAACTTTGAATATTATCTTTGAAATTGTTTATCATTATTCATTGAATATTGAAACAATCAAAGTTGATGATCATAGAAAGTATAAACGACAGTAATTATCTGTTTATGTGTACACATTAATACAGTATACTCTAACTCTATAATAGGTTTTAACTTTAAAGGTAATGTACCTACATATTATTTGTAATTTTTAGGACCTAAAATAATTTCAATAAAATATATTTAGTTAAGTATACACATTACACCTATACACATGGTTTTAAGTGCAAATACTACCTATGTCCTTCATAAATTGTTGTGGAGTCAGTATTAACTGGAAATCTATAATATTATTATTGTAATTTTCTAATCAATTTTTTTCCTGGTGTAAAATCACTGTGACTCATCTACAAATAATTATAGATTTTTATTTTTAAGTACAATATTATTTCCAAAAACATGACTTAAGTACATGTACCCTATACACTCCATAGGGCATAGGTAATGAATAATTCAAAATATACCTAATAACACAAATATTGTTAAGAATTTAAGATGAGTCGAAATTGCAAGCTTGAATCGAACATCATAAATCATATTATATAATGTATTTATATGGGTACCTAATAGGTAAATATTAGGTGAGTTACCTCCTAGGGAATAGATAGCTGGGAGAGAAATAAATAGAAGCGTAGCATGATTATATTTCTGTTTTTTTTACCTATACTTACTAAGATAGGTACTTAATTCATAAAATTATGCTGTATACAGCCGTATGGCGTAGTGGTTCATTTAATAATACTTATACTACCTATACTATTAAAAATATGAAGTAGGTAGATAGGTACCTACATATCTATTATGCCCTGTAGGACTGTAATATAAGAAAAACGTTTAGAATTTTAATTGGTTGATAGGTATCTCATCTTTTATTTGTCAAAAAACACTTAAACTCAGGTACCTATACAGTACCTATATAATATACTTATTAGGTACATACGCAATATTTACCTACGTATTAAAATTTTTTTGTACAATACCGTTTAAGAATATAGCTAGTAGCCTGTAGTAGTATGCATTGTACATAAAGTTATTATTTATTATACACCAGACACCAGGGTTTTGTTATTTCAGATGTATATGTTAATTGAGTAAAATGTATTTTGTCATTACTAAGGGAGCTATAGGTAGTTAGGTAAAAAAAAAATGTATTATAATATTATATAATTTAATAACACGTGTTAAAATATTTATTGGAAGAGGTGACGTGTTTTACAATAAATAATACAATTTAAATGTTAAGCTAATAACCTATGTAATATGTATATATAGTTGATGATAGTTGAAAAAAAATGCTATTTTAATCAAATAATTATAATTTATAATATCGGCATTGTCTTCCTGTGTTTAATAATAATAAAAATATTTTCGTCATTGTAGGTTTGATAAATTATTATTTCGATATAAATATGTATCGTAATATTATCAACACTATACACCTGCATTTACTTATGTATTGCCGTCTTTGTTTAACATAGGTACAAGTAAGCGCAAAACTGCATAAGAGCTGAACATTAAACAAGGCGATGTTTGTTGAAATTTCGCAGAATGTGTCTTACCGTGTCTTTCGAAATGTATATAAGAGGTAGGTAAAACAGTATACCTACATTTTATAATTTATAGTTTATATTAAACAGAAACAATATTTTCTAACTTCTAATTTCTATATTATAAAAACTGTCGTCCATCGGCGGGTTACTTTTGCTCAACATTTCTCTTGGAGAGGTTTAAATAGTTGCCTACGTAAAATGTTTTAATGATTTCCTCACACTAAAATAGTAGGTATTATCTTGACAGTCGTTGTTAGGTACTCGTCGCCTTGGATTTTTGGTTTAAACCAAATTTGAAGGACATTGCTTGAACGTGAGTTTATTGTAATGCGTAACACAAAACAATGACGGTTTATAAATGCGGGTTCAGCGCCCTGTTATACCTATAATAGTCTTTTGTAAAAATATTCAAATCACAAAATTAACAACTATTTTATTTGATTTATGGACGGACACCGGACACACGCATCTATAAGAGTATGTAACGAGTAAAAAAAAACGATTACACATTTATTTAATTTTTCCTTCTGTACTATTATACCATTTGCGTAGAATTAATTTCTACTTAGGCTAGTCATCTTATGCGAATAGTTTATTGTAGTCATATGCTAGATATCAATAAATCTTGACGTGACGTTCTGCTCAATTTTTTTTTATGGTACCTAGACGTCATATTCTATATTCAACAAGAATGAAGAAATTATGTAATCATTGAAAGCACCTGTAACGCTATAGTAGTTTAGTTAGAAAAATAGGTAACTAGGTAATTCGTAATTATAATAATATTACCCGACATAAGTGTATACAGAGCTATACAAAGTGTTTTGTTGATTTCAGTAGCGTAATTTGGAATTGGTTCTGGGGTGGGATATAAACTTATATTATCGTTCTAGAGGGGGGCTATGCCCCCACCACCCCTTGACCACTAAATCACAAATATCATAATATTATATTAATTTATTATTATAAATTAAATGAGGTAACTGGTATAATACCTAATGGTTTTCAAAGACAATAAAGTAAACAATTAAATAAGATTAAATGTATTTTTAATAAATTATAATATCAAGTCAATTTTCCTTTTTGTTTTTTTTCGCCAAAATATCCAGTACGTCATCGGGGCTTACTTAATGTCCAGATGCACTGATAACATCGGAAGTCCATTTAAGCAGATTATCACGGCTACGAATGTATGTACAAAAGGCAAGCACACCTTTTCATGGCCGTACCACCTACCATGTCTTCGACAAGTCCATTATATCTTAGTCCGTGAGCTGTAGAAACAATTATCTTG